AGGATTTCGACCACAAAAATTTTTAAATATAATTTAATTAATTACGATATTAAAACAAATATTATAATATATATATAACCGCCGCCTTCGCCGCCATTACTATATACTAATAATAATAATTATTATTATTTATTAAAAAGTAATAATTATAAAGTTTAAAAAATAATAATAATAATCCGCGTCGGAATTAACGATTAAAAAAAAAAAAGGAAAATTACGATGAAAACAAATATTTTATTGATAAAAATAATTTTTTTTTTTTTTTGTTTAACGACGTGTAAATATTTTTTCAAAAAAAAAATCTATTAATAATAATAATAAATTTTAAATATAATTGTTTAAAAAAAAATTCATAAGAGTATAAGAGTACAAAAAGGCCTAATCTATAATTTATTTACAAAATAACAGGAGCAAAAATAGAATGAAATCGATGTAATCACCGGATTTTTCAATTCCCCTGGCAAAAAGCTTAAAGGGTTTTAAATCTGATTTGATCAGAGAGAGAGAGAGATAGAATACCTCTTGAAATAAACTTTCTCAGTATTATTACTATTAATGTAAAAAAAAAAAGTTGATTATTACATACGAAACAACCCAAGACATTTTTTTTTCTTTATTCTCATACTATCCTAATTAAAACTTTAAAATAGAAAAACCGAAAAAAAACAAAAATTGCAACCAAAAAACGTTTAAACTTAACATATGCGTTTCGAACGGATTTTTGTAAATAAAGGGCGAACGTTCTATTGTATTAAATGTAATTGTTTCGATTAATATTTTGATTTACCATTTTCCCTCCCTCTAACCCTTTTTTTTTTTTTATAAACGTTACCATATCAAGTGACTAACAACTATTTGAACACAATTTAAAAAATTTTATTTTTTTATTTATAAACCACCCTTTTAGTATTTCGACACACGTAAATTGTTTATATTACGTCATAAGTTTAATAAAAACGTAATTTATTTTTGTTGTAATTTTTCAAAATGTTAATCGTGAGACTTTTTAACATTAATTTTTAAATGAATTTTAAATGAAAATCTTTTTCTTAAAAAAAAAAAAACTTGACGACAATACAGACAAACAATTAAAGACTCGAAAAACATTTTATTAAAAAAAAAAGAGAGTTAAAATGTGTGATTGTATAAATAAAAAATATTTAATTTTAACAAAAAGAATAAAATATATATAACCGTTGAGTAAAGAAGAAAAAGAAAAAAAGAGAAAGAAATAATGGGGGAAAAAAAAAAAACAATAATAAAAATAGGGGGAGGTCGCGGATAACAGCGAGACTCAATTAAAAGCACACAAGAAGATTTAGTCTTTGAAAATAATTAAAGGAGGATTAACGGTTGTTGAAAAAGAAAAGTATAAAAAAAAAAAAGGATGAAAATTAATTGAAAGCAACAACAATTTGAAAGAAACATACATAAATAACTGATAAAATGAATTTACGGGAAGGAAAGAAAAAAAATAATAATAATAAATGTAAATAGTGAGGGAGGGAGGGAGGGGGGAAAACGTATTATGTATGTGTGATGATGTTAAATATGTAATTAATTATTATTATTATTTTATTTTAATGACGTTTATTTAACACACGTTTTTAAGGTATTGAAAAAAATTTTTTTTTATAACAAAATCAATTGAAACAAATTCACACTTTTAATTCAGTTAATTATTTATTAAATAATAATAATAATTTTATTATGAATAAAATAAAACGAAAATAATAATAATAATAATAATAATAATAATAATAATAATAATAAAAACAATGTAATAAATTGAAATTTTCACTGACCAAAAATTGATTTAATTTTTTTTTTTTTTTTTATTATTTAATTTTAAAAATTCAAATGTTTTTCCTGATTTATAATGATGAGAAAAATAAAAATGGAAAGAGAGAGTGAGAGTGTGGGTGAGAGAGAGAGAGAGAGTGAGAGGAAATAACCAAGTTAGTGATAAAAAAAAAAAAAACAAATTTAAAATAGAGATTGCGGTGAAAATTAACTTATGATTCCAATTTAAATTTACATTTTACTTCTGGGACGAATAATAAAATGCCATCCATTATGCTTCAATTGTTTAACTTGGTAAAAAAAAATATAATAAAATCTCACAACCGGGGAATTAATTTTTTTTTTTTGTCATTTTTTTTTATTTTTTTCGTATTAACAATCAAAAAGGATTATTTTTTTAATAATTATTACCTTTTTTTTTTATTAATAAACAAATAAAAAAATCATTATTATTAATTAAAGCATGTTTTAAAAAAAATAAAAAGGAAAATTATTTTTTTACTAGTTATAAAAATCGTGTTACAAAATAAATTAAATAAAAATTATTAAAAAGAGAGGGAGACAGAAAATTTGTTTTTATTTTCATTCATTTATATAATTTTAATTATTTTACCTTTTTTTTTTTGTTTTTGTTTTGTATTCAAAGGAAAAGCTGTTTTTCATTTAAGAATGACTTTTAAAATTTTTTTTATTCCGTCTTAAATGTCACGACATTTACAAATTGAATTTTTTTTTTTTTATAAAAAAATAATATAAAATAAAACTGACACCATTTAAAAATCTCATCATCATCCCGTCAAAAATTAAATAAAAAAAAAAAAAATCGATTAAATATTATTATTATTATTATTTATTTCATTCAAAAAGTTTTAATAATGATTTTTTTTTTGTAAAACTATGTAAATTTTAAAGATTTTTATAGAAGAAAACTGTAAAAAACTGCATTAAAAAAAAAAATAAGAAAAGAATTATTTGAAGCCAAAATGGTTCCCCGAGGATATAGAAAGTCACCTGAAAAGGGGGAGGGGTGGGTGGGATGGGAGGAAAAGAAGCATTTTAGTAGAGTATTAAACAGAATTGAGAGTTGAAATGAATTTGTTCAATGATCCAAATCATTGGATTGTTTAAAATAAAATATTGAAGGCACATGCTTTCATTTAACTTGTAAAATTAAAAAAAAAAATTTTAAGTTGACGTATTTATTCCGTAATAATTAATGTGTTATTCTTATTTTCTTAGAAAAAATTAAAAACGAGAAAAATTGCGGTTTTTCATAAACGGTTAAAATAAAATAATATAATTTTTTTTTTCATCCCTTACAAAACAATATTTAATTATTGATTTTAAAAGTTTTTTTTTATATTATATTATGTTTAATAATCAGGTAGTAAAGATTTTCTCTCTCTTTCTCTCTCTCTCTCTCTCTCTCTCTAATTGGCTCGAATTCAATCGTCGTGTTATTGTAAATATCAAAAGAAAAGTTTTGTGTAAAAGGTTCTTTGACCGTTTAAAAAATATCTTGTAAATTTTTAATAAGGAAACTATGTTTCGTGAAAAGCTTAAAATAATAATAATGATAATTATCATTTATCACTCGGGGAAAATCGATTTTTATTCTAAAAAGACATTATTATTATTATAACTTAATCATTATTAATTATTTTATTATAATTTTTAAATGTAAAATTCACATTTACTCTCAGTCAACCTTTAAATAAAAGTTTTTATTATTATTATTATTATTATTATTATTATGAGTAAATCACAGTGAAAATTCATTATTTAAAAGGTCACGAATAATCGTGAACTTTATTCACCGACCCGTAAATGTCACCCCCTTCCCCCTTTAAACAATTTCTCCCTTTTTTTGTTTGTTTGTTGTTGTATTTATTTATATAAAATTTAATTTAGTTTTTCAACATATGAAAATGAAGGGAGGGTGCAAAGGAGGAGGAAAGGGAGGGGAGGGAAAAAAATTTTAAGAAGAAAATTCTCGTACAGTTAATTATTTTATTATTTACTTATAAAAACATGAGGGGGGGGAGGGTGAAATTTTTTAATTTTTTTAAATAATACGCAAATTTTATAATTTTATTAAAAAAAAGGGGAGGGGGAGGAGGGTATTATTAACTGTAGATAACGTAAAGTAATTAATTGGCTCCTGGGCGAGATTCCTATAGACCAAATTTATAAATAATCGGCTTAACTATCCAAGAGCCCTTCAATTGAATTAATTGATTTGATGTTTTCTCTATAATATTAAATTAGTTTACGAGTTAAATATTTGTTTTTTGAAAAAAACAACCTACGTCTCTAAATAAATAAATAAATAAAATTTATTTTTGCCTTATTTAAATTTTTTTTTGTTATCGGACGTTCTTTTCTTTATTCTAGAAATTTCTAACAAATAGGAAAAATATTTTTTTTGTCTTGTTTTCAAGGCATAGTACTATAAAGATGTACGGATAAAAAAATATATATAATAAAAATAAAATTTAAAACAAAACAAAAAAAAAAAATATATATATATATATTAAAAAAGAGATTCAATATTGGAAACAATATAATATCCCGTGGGAGCATTCAAAAAGCTAATCCTACTAAAGTAAGCCTCGGTTTTTTTTTTTTTTTTTTTTTTTTTTTGAGATTTAACTCAACTGAATTTACACATGTGAAGAAAAAAAATAAGAAATTGCTTTTTTACAACATTACTCTAGGGCGTATTTATTAGATCAAATGTTTTCTTTTTTTTTAAATAAATAAATAAATAAAATAAACTTGTAATAATTTTTATGTATTTCACTTTATAATACATATATTCAAAAAAAACGGGAAAAAACAAAAAAATTCTTTCGTTCTGGACATTTGTTTAAATTAAATTTTTTTTAATGACATAAAGTTAGTCCATATAAAGGGTTAACTAAATAAAAAGCCAACCAATTAAAATTAAATAATGTAAAAAAAAAAAAAAAACCACTGAAAGGTTCTAATATGAAAAGTAAAAAATGTTTAAGCTCCCATTATTTACTATTAAAACCCATAAAAAAGAAAAAAAAGGGAAAATTTTTTTATAAAAAAATGATAAAAACCTATGTTTAACATATGATTGAATATGTTTTTTTTATTTTTTTGTAATTATTTTAAAAGCACTTCGCGCAATTTTAAAATTACTTATTCATTTTTTTTTTATTTAATTGGAGCTTACGTTTAGGATTGGAGGAGTGGCACGATTTAAAAAAAAAAAAAAATTGAAATTTTTTTTTTATTAAGACGAAATTAAAATTATTAATAAAAAAAATGTGTGTGTGAAAAAAAAGTAGCATGTGTAAAATTTAGTTGGCAATTTCTTTTGAAAAATGAATAGAAAATAAAAGTTATGATGAAAAAATAAATAAAACAAAAAAAAATGTTATTAAATTATTTTTATTAAAGATGAAAAATATATTTTGACGTAACAGGGAAAAAAGGCGAAAACAGGGGGTAAAATTGATGGTCAAAGTTATTCCCCAAGAGAATATATTAACAGTAACGAACCACAATGTAACTTTTCACAGTTAACAGTTTTTTTTTCAATTTAAAAAAAAATAGTTCGATCATTTTTTGATTTTTTGTTTGAATTATATTAATTTGTATTTATTTACAATTTAAAAAAAAAAAAAAAAATTATGTGTAGAAGTTTGTTTTAGTGAAAATTGACCAAAATTGGGCAAGGGTTTAAAATTAATTTGGCGGAAATTTTTTAAACTAAATCTATGGAGATTAAAAATGAGGGAAAAACCAAAAAGCTTAATTTGCGTTCACGTGTCTTTCGGTTTTAATGGCCGATTATTTTAATTGTTCATTAACGATAAATAATAATCTTTATACAAGGGCAAATGTTAAGCTTAGTTGCATTTACAATAATCTCCCTGTACTTCATTTTTTTTTTTTTTTTAACGTTGTAAATAATTTTTTTACCCAAAATGTAAAATTGTGCACGTTTTAAAGTAAAACAAGCGATTTTTAACTAATTTTTTTTTTTTTTTTTTAGTTCATTCATCAAATTATACAATGAACTCGATAATAAAAACTATCGATATAATACGTATGGAATGCCTATAATATAAAAAAAAAAAAATTACACGTATACACGATGTAAAAAAAAAAAACAAAAAAAAATTTATTTAGAAATATAAGATAATAATTACTAATTAATACTAAAAAAAAAAAAAACTTTTTTCGCTTGTTCAGAACAAAAAAAATTACAGATATATTATAAATTTATTAATACCTAATGCATTCAAATTAATAGTTTTTATTATTATTATTTATAGAAGGCATATAGACTGCAGAAAAAATATAAAAAATAAAAATAATTCTTAGCCTCTTATATATATATATTGTAAGTGTAAGTATATACAAACAAATTATTAATAATACCTAGATTTCATGTTTAGGAAAATATTTTTCAAAAAAAAAAAAAAAAAAAAAAAAAACTTTTTATAGGTTTATAGTATTACTTCAATTCGGTAATTTCAATTTATATTGAGAAATTGATATGTGAAAAATTAATTTTAAATTATTATTATTTTACAAATTTTAAGGTCGAAGGCGTTTTAAAATTGTAAGTAATATTTCATTTTTATTTATTTATAAACAAAAAAAAACTACGAGCCTTTTACATAAACATTTCCTTATTTAACTTTTCATCTGTAATAAATGTCGTCAAATTAAAATCCTTATAATTTTATATAAAAAATAAAAATTTTTAAACTCTATACTAAAAAAAAAGAAAAAATTTTTTATATCACTTGAATGAATTTTAAAAAAAATAATATATATATATATTAAACATTAATTTCGTAATAAACACGTTCGAAAAACGTTATTGATCAAAAAAAGTCAGAAATCATTTCAATAATTATAATGTAATCAAAAAAAAAAAAAAAAGTTGTTGTCATATTAACAATTCAAAATAATTTATCGGTAAAAAATAAAAATGAAAATTAATATAACTATAGTAAATTTTTAAAAATACTGAGTTGATAGAGTTTTTATTAAACCATCCACAGCCTACGAGCCATCAGGAACTTAATGTTTGAACATTACTTCACTTTTTTAGTATTTTTCAAAAAAAAATTAAAAAAAAAAGTTTTTGATCCAAATTTTTATTAAATTATAATTAAAATATTTTATATAGTATTTAATGGGAATGAATAACTATTAAATGCCCCTTTTTTTTTTTTTTTTAAATATTATAACTATTAATTTCCCTCGAACGAAACAGTTATAACTTCCCTATACATTAATACTAAAATCATACACTTTTTTTTTTTTATGGATGAAAAGAAAAAAAAAAAAAAAATTGGATCAATTTTTTTTTAAATGTGCAGGAATAAAAAACTGACTTTTATAATTAAACTATACAAGAAACAAAATAGCTTGTCGATATTTTTTTTTTTTTTTTTTTTTCACTTTTTAAAAGTTTTTTTTTTTTTTTTCTTCGTGTTTTAATTTTTTTATATATTTTTATAAAATGATTATTACGAGTCTATCCATCTTCTTTTGGAGGTGTAAACCAACCGTTTTTTTCGTGTATTTGTACAAGTGATTTAAATGATTGTTGTGCTCTTGCTAGACTATACTGCCCCTGCTGAAAAAAAAAAAAACAAACAGGAGGAAATTTTATTACACAATTTACAAATTATTACTGTGATAAAAATATAAATAAATTTATTAATAAAATATACGGTAATACTCACTTGATCAACAACTTTAGCATAATTAAATTGAATTCTAGCTTTTCCTTTAACAAGCGTAGCTGCGATTTGCATTATTACAGCCTCTACAGTATAAGCTGAGCTCCACCCTTGTTTAGTTAATAACTCCATACAAATTGCTCCTCCTACTAATACATATCCACCCGATATAACAGGATAAACTACTCTTACAAAGGGTGGTTCAAAAGGATAGGTTTCCTATTTCAAACATCATAAGTTTCAAATATTTGTTATTAAAAAAAAAAAAAAAATTAATAATTTTTTATATATATTAACAAACTTGCCTTAAAAAGCATACTAAGTAAAATACTATCTTTCCCTTCTTTTTCTTTCAATAAAATAAGATCATTGTGTAAAGGTGAATCAGGATCAACTGACATAAGTCTTACGTTCCATTCATACAAAGAATCACTAACAAGATCGATGCTATACATGCCTGCAATTAAAATCGATTCGATTAATTTTTGCAAATGATATTGTTTAAAAAAAAAAAAAAGGAAAAAAAAAGGTACCTTTTTTGTAGGTATCGGAACGGTATATGTCTCTTAATTCTTTCATGAGACGATCAGTTGCTTGAACAGAGCCATGCACCGATCCTTTTAAATGATCTTGCCTTTCTTTTTGACGCAGACGCTCCAATAAAGCTATGTGTTCCATAGCAATTTCTTCATTCTGAAAAACAACATAATTTCAAATAATCAAATTTTTTAATATTTTAAACATTTAATTAAAAAAATTAAAAACACACTTTCTTCAAAGTCTTTAATAATTTACTTTATTTATAAAGATTCCTTGTTAATTATTAAATTTAAAATAATTGAAATTAATTAACTAAATTTAAAATCAAATTAATGTCAATATTACAAAACTTATTTATTAAGTAATATTAAAAATTAATTTCTCATTAACTTACCTTACTTTTGGAATTTGTATCTATCTCTTCCATTTCAAGATGAAGATCCTCATCTCCATCTTCTTCTTCATCATCTTCATCTTCATCCATATCTTGTTCAGGTTCTGGCTAAAATATACATTTTAAATTATATCATAATCGAGAAAATTTCATTATATTTATACATCTTACATTTCCTACAGGTTTACTATGCCATGTTGAGAAATATTTTGTTAAAATATTACATTGAATTAGAGTTAAAACTCACAAAATAATTTACCTGAAAACGTGTGTTGACAGGTGAAGGAAGAGTAAGTCTTGTTAAATCTGAAGGTTCTTGAACACCATGTAAGCGACATAATTCCTTTAACAAAATTCCAACTTGATTTACTACATGGTTTTCAGCTCCAGATGTATTGCTAAGAATTTGTACAGCATTGGTTACACTGGTTTCTTCAGAGTCAGCAAACCAAACAGGAGGGGTTGCAGGGTATGTTTCCTTAATTAAAAAAAAAAAAAAAATTATTTTTTATTTTAAAAGAAACATTCCCGAGAAAGGTAAATATTCAATTAAGGTAAACTGCATGTATAATTTTTGTAAATTTTATTTATGTCTTAATATATGTATTTTTATTAACATTACCACTAATATTAATAATTTTCTTTACAATGATGTAATACTTTTCTTTTTTAACAATGCCACTTTCAAGGCATATTTAATTTTTAAAAAAATATAATTTAATTCAAAATTGGGTATTTTTTTATTGATTTTTTTAAAATAAAATTATGAGCTGCACTAAAATTTCTTTAAAAATTATTTTTTTTCAGACATAAAAAGCCTTTATTTAGAAATAAAATAAAATTAAAATAATGTAGAAATTTCAACTGAATAAACATTCAAATTGATTCAACAAATAAAATTTACATGCATATATTTTTATATCTGAAAACCGTTAATTTATAATTTTAACAAAATGAAAAAAAATATTTTTGTCAGAAAATTAAAATAATATTTTTATCAAGATTGACATATTTTCTTAAGAAAATTGACTTTAAATTTTTTGAATTAAAAAGTACTCTTTTCTTAATTTAAATGTCCTTCAAGGTATAAAAGAAAAAGTATTTAAATTTTCCAAAATAAATTTAAAATTCTTGTGGGATTAAGTAAAACAAATTTTTATTTATATAATTTTAATAATTAATTATTGTGGGCATACTAACGTGTAATTTGAAAAGCAATTAAAACAATGATTTTTCTGAATTAAAAATCATTAATCTTTAAAACTTACTAATTTGCATTCAAAAATTTAATAATACTGTATCGCGTAAAATTTTTTACAAAAATTAAAATTTAATTTAAAAATTTTTAAAGTAGTACTCAAAAAAAGAGATCCACTACTTAAAAAGGAATGTTTTAAAATCGTTATATCGTAGCCATTGCAATTAATTTGATAGTAATTTCTCTTTGTCTGAGTATTTGGTTAATTTACTTTATAATTTACGTTTATGTAAAAAATTTAAAGACGAAGTTTAAAAAAAATATATAAAAAAGGATTTTAACAAAAAAACTAGAGCAAAAAGTTAATATTATTTACCGTAATATTAGCATGTATTTCATATTTTTTTCCGTTTTTCCCAATAAACCTACAGCTAAGCTCATCAACACTAGCAGACACTATCTGAAACCTTTCATGATTTTTCGGAAACACTGCTTCTAAAGTTTTTATTTCTTGTTTAAGTGTATTTAAGCACGCCATTTACTTATAACTGAAACATGAGGTTTTGAAGATTAGCTAAATTAAACAAATAAATTATTCCTAAAACTTAAACCTACAACTACGATCACTCCCAATCAAAATGGCGAAAGGAGACCTCGGTTACCTTCGTACACTTCCGCCTAATAAATTCTTCCACTGTTTATTTAAGTTTAATTTGGTAAAACTGAAATAAAATGCCGCCAATTTTTTTTTTATTTAAGAACTCTACTTGATTAAGGCTGTGGAAATGCATTCGACGCCATTTTGATTAAAATGTTAATGTTTACTTTCTACAAAACCCAAACTTATTTATTTCATCGTATATAGTGATTAATTTTTATTAAAAAGTAAAAACTATAAATGGCCTTAAAAAGTCAATAAAGTAAATAAAAAAATAGGTAAGTCAGTGTTATTCTAGATTTTAATTTTTTCGTAAAAGTTATGTTGATAAAATTATTTATAATATGCGTTTTCTTTTTAAAAAAATATGTATAATCTGTTTATTTTTATTAGTGTAAAAATTTTATTATTTTAGATCATCGTACGTTTATTACAATGTTAACAGAATGAATTAATTTCAAAATTTTACGGAACTTTAAATAATAAATTCGGGTAGTTCGTTTTCGCGCCTGGCGTCTTTATTTAGAACACCTGCCATTTGTAACAATATTAATATTTTCATGCATCGTAAAATTTTATACATGTTTATTTCAATATTAAAGAAAATTACTCCAAGATTAATAATTACGTGAAAAATGAAAGTTATTTTTATTGAAAATTTAATTTATAATAATTATGACTATACTCGTACTCTTTTCGTCGTGTTCACAGGTGACCTTTTACATTAGATTAGCATATTTCATTGTACAGAAATAATGTTTATTTTTCTTTAATTTTTAGAATCTCAATAATTTTCAAAAGAAGTAAGTTTTTTCAGTCAAAAAAGAAAAAAAACATCATTTAATATGAAAATGCCAAACTCTAGGATTTATAAAAAATTTTAAATGGAACTGTACTATAAAATGCCTCATAATAAGGGTGGGCCATGTGTTAGAAGTGATATTTTAGCATCAACAGCTTGGAATGCTCTTATTCATCATCCAGTTGAAGATTCTGATGCTGAAGAATTGCCAAGCACAGTTGATATAGATGCCATTAAAGGTGCTCCTATAACAGGTCATACAGGGCATTGGAATTCTTTAAATAGTAATATTACTAAAAGTAATGTCGAAGAAAAAAATGAATCTGATTCTGATGATGATAAGAAAATTAGTGATTCAAATTCAAGATCTTCAAGTGACAGTCAATCAGAGGTTTGTAATTGTTTTAAATTAATTTATTTGGTAATTTTTTAATTCATGTTTTTTAGCCATTTAATGTTTTCTTAAAATTGTAGGTATTAAAATAAAATAAATTATAATAAATTCAAAAGAATTAAAATTGTGGTATATTTCTGTCATTAAATTATTAATTTAGACACTGAAACAATTACTATTAATATTATATTTTGACTAAAATTTCTTATTACAATAAATGCAAAAATAATTACTGTATTAGAAAACATTGAAGAAAACTAAATGTCAATATTTATTCGTTTTACCTTTAGTTTCATGTATTTCACCTAAATACATGCAATTATTTAAATATGCAATATATTACAGATAAATATTTATCAATATATTATTTTGTATAAATCTTAGTTCCTGTTTATATAAAATATTTTTTTTAAATTTAGTGTCTTACATACGTTTTTTTTACAGCTTTTTTAATTTTTTTGTATTTTAAATTCTTGTTTAACGCCAATATCAACATTAATATTATTAATAAAACTATTGTGTTTCTATGTGTCAATACCTTGTAAATGATTTATATTAAACATATTTTTATTTATGTTACAGTAATTTGACTTATTAATAAATTTTTTTTTTTTAAATTTTGTTTAGGATTCAGAAAGTGGTTCCTGCAGTTGGTCCAGCAGTTCTGAATCTAGTTCGAGATCTAGTTCATGCTCTTCTCAATCTGCTGTACAAAGTAGAATTTCATCACCACCTAGTCAAACATTTTCAATCAGAGAATCAAATTTTGAGCAAGTAAGAAATTTTTTTTTTTGTATTTTATTTTTAATTAGACAATTTATTTTCATTTTGTATAATGAAAAAATACATTTATTGCCAACAATATGTTTAACCGGTAAACATATGTCTAATGCAAGAAATACCTTAACCTAATATTTCTTAAATATTTAAAAAAAATTAAATTAAAAATGTTTTTAAAATTTTTAATTTTTAGGGTGGTTTAAAACTTAAACTTTCTGCAATGAAAATTTCAAACAAAAGACAGTCATCGAGTCGAAGTCAAACGGGTACAGAGAGTGATAGTTGCTCATCAATGAAACACGAAAAATTTAAGCTAGGTCAGCTATATATGGATGAAAAAGAGAAAATGAAGAAACCTACAAAAGTGAAAAGTCGGCTGAGGTTTTCAGGGATAAATGATGCAAAAAAAAAGTTACATGTTGATCAAGGAGTTGATAATAAATCACTGAAAGAAACTTCAATGTCAAGTTTAAAGTTAACGACATCAGTTACCCAAATATCTAGTACTAAGAAAATTAACAAAAACGGGGAATCTAAATCTAGTGTTAATGTAAAATCTAAAAATGATAATTTAAAAACGTTTAATTGTAATAAAACAGAAGAAACATCGAAAAGTATTTCTATGTGCGAAGGTCCAATTATTGTTGGCAATAAATTAAATGATTCAAAATCTTTAAGCAAAAAATTTAATGGTAAATCAATAATAAACAAAAAATTGGATTCGAGTACTATTAAACGTGATTTGGACATTAATAAATGCTGCTCAATAGTCATGCCATCAAATAAAAAACTATCGGAAGCCAGTAAACTTAGATGTGTTAGAAAAAATACAGGATCTCAGTATAACAAACCACAATCCGCTATTAAACCAGTAGGTTTTACAGAAAAAAAAAAATTCTTTTCGTTAATTTTAGGTTTTACAGTTATTGATTATTAATTTAACTTTAAAAAGTAAAAAAAAAAAAAAATTAATTTTACTTTTGTTTTTATATATATAGGTTACGAATAATGGCGGTGGTAAATTCACAAAAACATCAAATTTTCATCCCGCCTTTAAATTAAAGGAAGCTTATTCAGAATCGTCAGAAAGTGAAAACGATTGTTCAAAAGATGAAGCAGCTCACTATACTGCATTGGCTCAGCAATTAAGCCATATTGGAAATTCCGAAACTCTTTCTTCTATGTCTGAACACTTACAGGTAAGTCTGAAAAAAATTTTGATTATAAGTATTAAACCTTAATACATTTTTATACTTTTTACAGGTAATTAATCAGGAAGATCTGGCTGCTATTTTACCAGACGTAGTGACAGCTGAAAACCATGGAAGTTTTGATGGTTTTGAAGACGTTTCTTTAGAGTGTGGTAAAAATGAAAAGAAAAATGTAAATCAAGACAGTGGAAGTGATGTTGAACTTCCTGATCAAATTGTTAATGATGCCATTAAAAGGATTCATATAGACAGTGAAGAAATGGAAAACAGTGAAAGTGAAAAAGGTAATCAAAGGTTTTTTAAATACATTTACTTTTTTACTGATTTAAAACATTTAGATCTTTAGTATTAGATCTTTATAAATTATTTTACAATTTTTTTTTTAACATTTTGATAATTAATATAAATTATTATTTTTATTTTTTTTTTTTTTTTAGGTGGTGAAAAATTAGGAGTTACAAAATGCATCACTCGGCAAACTCAATCAACAAATAATTTCAGTTCATCAGACGAAGATGTGGAATTTCGAAGAGGATATTCATCGTCCCTTTTGCAACAGTTTGTTGAAAAAACTGAAATACTCTCAGCTCAGTGTGAAAGATTAATTAATGTTAGTCGATCAAGGAAAATAGCATCTCAAAACAGTTTATTAATGGAAAATATTTTGGAAAGACGTATAAAACGAGGAAGACCACCTAAAATTGTCAAAAATTCAACGTCAAATAATGTAGAAAGTGCACAAGTAGTGTTAGGTAGTGTCGATAGGACAAATAATAAATTGATGCCCGAGTTGGAGGCTTATCGATTGGATAGCTCTCTCAGCAATGTTTCTCCTGATAGTGGAATACAAAGCGTACCTGGTTCTCCAGTTAATGAAAACATTCATGTAAGCCCTTGTCGCGATGTGACACCCCCCATTCTGAGACCAGTCACTCCTGTTACAGGAATTCCAAATAAATTATCTTATCTAACTAAGAAGTCTGACATCTCTAAAAAACGACCCGGAAGACCGAAAAAAATAAAACTTGAAGTTTTCAGAAATTTATTGCAAAATAATAATCAAAGCGAAACTAAAAAAGATAAAAACGTTAAAAGTGAAGATCGACCACCTATTCATAGTTTGATTCCAGAAAGAAGAGGTCCAGGAAGGCCTAAAAAAGCACCACCTATTTTAGAACCCAACATTCCTATGGTGTGCAGAAATGAATTATGCAAAAAAGAAACAAGGAATAACATAAACATTGTATTAAATGAAATTTGCGAAAGAGTTAGTCGTCAGTTAGATTTTCCTTCTTTATCGAAGGAATCCATGCGTAATGTCGAGTTAAATAAAGAAGATATTGAACGCATTTTACTTCATCACAAATCTAAGAAAAGTAGAAATTTGAAATTTGATGCCATTTTTTCAAAGTCAATGAGATTGTCAAATCCTCCTAACGTTGCTATAGTTAAACCTATGCAACACCACCGAGTAGAAGATAATAACGTAGAAAATGACAAATTAAATAAAAAATCCGGGAAAAAATGTAAAAATGGTAATCTAGATGAAAATACGTGGTATAGTGTAAAACTAGCCTGTGAAAAATTAAATATTGCTGAAAAGGAAAAAGACTTTACAGATAAAAAAAGCAGATCTTTTATGGATGAAAAATTGAATAAGGGAAATAAATGTAAAAAAAAAACGGAAGGTAAAAGTAAAACAAAAGATTTAGGGCATAAATCTGTGGGTTTTGTTTCTACACCTAGAACATTTCCAACGTATAAAACTTTGTCAACAAACGATCAACTTTCTAAATATTTTGAAAAAGCAAAACCGAATTTGCAAAAAAAAATTCATAGCTTAAAAAAACCACGGAAAAATCTTAAAAAAAGCATAAAAAGGAAAAATGGTAAAACGATTGTAAAACCTTTCATAAATACGTCTATAAAATCGCCATGTTGTTTTTATTCGAGCAAAAAACATGCTAAAATTCCTAACTTAAAGCATAATTTACTACATCGTAAACACAAAAAATGTAAAAGGAGTATGAAACATTTAAAATGTAAACAAAAAAAATTAGATAATGAATGGTTTTTTAAAGAACTAGAAGAACTCATTACAGAATTTCAAAAATTTTCCATTGGAATCGTCAAAAAATCTATTTCTTTAGTGACGGGAAATAATTTGTGTACAATGCAAACTGTCAATTCTGTGCAAAACGAAATGGGATTACCAGCTGATTTTCGGTAAGTATACACCATTCATTCATTTATTTATTTATTTTTCATTTTTTGAAGTATATATGCAATGTAAATTAATTAATAGGGTAAAAAGAGCCGTCAAAAAAAGAAAAGGAAGTGAGAAATCTCGCGGAAGTGATAGAGAGTCTGGAGCGGAAAAATCTAAATTAAGTGATAGAGAATCAGGGCCTGAATTGCCTGAAAATGAAGTATTAAGGGAGAAGCCCAAAAGAAAGCAGAAAAAAAATCACGTCGAAGTTATAAACGTAAGTTTTAGAATTAAATTATCAAACTTATAACCTTTTTTAAGTGTAAGTTTTTAATATTTGACTAATCCAATTGCAGCAAGGAGCAGATACTAATTCTAATGAACAACGTTTACCTTTGAAAAAACGACATTATCATTTAACTTCTGCTTCAAATCAGCAATTACTACCATCTTGGACTAGTGACAGTACGCAATCAATAGTCAAATCTATAAATGCTGACAAGCCAATTAATAAAGAAGTTAACAGTCATTTAAAGAAAGAAGCTGTGGAAAAAATTAAATGTGCGGATAGTCAAAAAATACAAAGGAATTCTATAGACGAAGCTATTGAAGCAACAATCACTAGATACACTACAAAATCGTGTAACGTCTCACCGGAAACTAATTCCGATTCTAATAGCACTCAATCACAATTTAACAATCAGCAATGTGTTATTACAACGCCTAAGAAGAGGCACAGAGTGCCTGATTTGGTTGCAAAGACTGTTTTTCAAAGTAACATTTGTAAAAATAATAATGATGTTAAATCTATATTAAAAAATTCAGATATTAATGTCAAGACTATGCTATCGCTACGTCACGGAGCTGGCAATTACACAAAAGTAGAACCGTCGTGCGTTCAAAATTTAATCAAAACAAGTAATTTTATTAAAGAAACTAATAATAAATTATTTCTTCCGATCGAATCTAAAAAGAAAACAGGGATCAAAAACATCAGTAAAGATATTAAGGGAGATAAATATGTAACAGGTAGTACTAAAGGAGATATTGAAAAATCGGATAATGATGAAATTTTTACTAGAAACAACGATAAAATTAAAAAATATGGGCTGAAAAATTCTGAACATTCTGAACATCTTCATTTTTCGAAAACCAGTGAGGAAAGACTCAAAAAATATGAGTTTAAAAATGTTCTCTTCGAGAAAACTTTGTCCAAAACAAGTCAAAAACAACATTATACGAGGTCAAGTTCTAAAACCGACATGACACCTTCTGATCAAACGCAATCAAATAATAGTAAAGAAGTACATTTATGTAAATTCAACGGGTCCAAAGAATCAAATGAGAATGACCACGATGATGATAAAATTTCTGAAAAGCTTCCGGAAATTGAAATATTCGATTCGTCTCTCGATGCAAAATATGATGGTAAAACATTATCACCTACGGTGAATTTACAAAATGAGAATGATAAAAATTCTTCAAATTTAAAAAAATATCGAGATGGTAGAATTTTACAATCAGTTGAAGAAAAACGAAAAGACAAAAGTCACAAAAAACTTTTCACGCAAAAAAAAGGAATCAGAAAAAGTAATTACTTTAAAAAACCCAGGTGTTTGAAAAGTTGTAAGGAAGTCAGAGTTAATGTGAAGGAATCGACTCCAAAAGATATATTAATTACAAAAGGGGTTGTAGAAAAAAAAAAAGTTAAACGTAGAAAAGCTATAAACAGAACGGGTTTCCCAAGTAATAAAAAAAAGAAGAAAAAAATGTCTATAAAATTAGACGAAATTGAGGATAAGACTGCCTCGGAAATGACAAAGTTTTCAAATCCCGACGGTTCTGCCACAAAATTACAGGAATGTGAAACTGATAAATTTTCAGAGGATTCAAACAATAAAAAAAATAATTTGAATCTATCAACAAATACTACCGATTTAAATAAGTCTTTAGACTGTCCTACCAATGAATCCGTGAAAACCGATGATGATGAAAATAATTTAGAAAATAATAGAGGAAATCAAATTTCATTGGAAGAAACAACCGTACAAGATTCCATTACCGAAGAACGTGAATCTAAAGTCGAAGGGAAAGTATCCGAATCGAGCGGTACAAAAAGAGTGAGAAAAAATAGTAGTTCGCTATCAGATTTAGTTGCTAAAAAAGTGAAAACGATTAAAACAGAAAATGAAGAACCTAAAGTTAAAAACAACGCTGACCTTCATAAAGGAATCGAAACAACAACGGGAACAATTTCGACAAGAAAAAGGAAAAGTTTGAATACGACAAAAAATATTAATTTTGGTTTGAACAGGTATCAATATCCACTTTTATCAATGAAGAAATTTAAAAGAGCTAAAGAAGAATTAAGAGCACAAAGGTATGTTACCGACGCAAAGTCTTAAAAAGAATTTAAAAGAAAAAATAATAATAATAATAATAATATTAATGTTTACGTTTTTTTGTATTGTAGCGAAGAAAGTATTTGCGATTCTGTCGAAGAAGAAGTTTCTAAAATAAAAAAATCACATCCGAGATGGCGAAAAAAATATTTAGCTGCTGGCTTATTTTCTGATTTTTACAAACAGGATCCACCTCAAAAAGTGAATAAAGTAAATGAAAAATCTTTGTCTAAGCTAGTGTACCTTCTTGCTGATCAAGAATTAGACTTATTACCCCCACCATCTTATTGTAATAAGTATGTCAGACTTAGAAGAGTGGATTATCAACTCCCTTTCGATCTGTGGTGGCTTCATACACATTCTCAGCTTCCAGGCCGGGATATTGTTCCAAGTTGGAATTACAAAAAAATTAGAACCAGTAAGTTTAAAAAAAAAAAACTTATCAATCTTAAATAAATTTAAAAATTTTTAAACATTTTTCATAACTTTCTTCATTCTAGATATTTATTATGACGTCAAACCGCAAATGACGGGTACTTATGAAGCTCAAGCTTGCAATTGTACAGTACCTCTTAATACAAAGCAAAAAGGTTGCGGCGAAGAATGTATAAATCGAATGGTTTTTGCCGAATGTTCACCACAATTATGCCCTTGCAAAGAAAAATGTTCAAATCAAAGAATACAAAAGCACGAATTCGCTCCGGGTTTGCAAAAATTCATGACTAAAAACAAGGTAAAGTTGTGATAATTAAAGTAAACTTATAATTTATTTTTGAATTTAAAAAACAAAATTATATTTTTAGTTGGGGTCTTGGAAAGTTACATTGCCTTTTCGAAAAAAATGTGATTTTGCGGCTTAAATAACTCATATATTTTACTTGCGACAGATAATTAAAAAGAAAATTCTATCTTTTCACGTCTTTTGTTTCCAATTTACTAAAATGAAGAATAAAAAGTTAAAGCATTTATGTTCAATCATAACCTGAACTTTTAATATTATTTTCTGGAATAACATTAACAGCTACCCATTAAATTTTTTTTCTTTTTTTCTATAACGAAGCTAATTGTAAATTTTACTATGAATTTTAAAATTTTTCGAAAAATGCATATTTGGTGTTTATTTCAATACCTACTTAAAAAAACTTGTGATGATTGTGGTTCACTATCTGAGAAATATGAATTCAAAAAAATTTAAATAAAAAGGAATAATTACCTATTAATTATCCTAAATAATTGAAATGAATGAACTTTTCAAGGGTTTGTGTTTCCTCTGTCGATTTTCTTCTTTACATCGTACCTTATCATTGCAATTTATTTTCATCATTGTAGGTTTAATTGCAATCGGAGTTTTTCCTACCTCATTTTTAATCAAAACGGTACATTTAACATTTTTCGTACCCGAACATTTATCATTTTCAATTTTTTCTTTACAACTAAATTTTCCCTTTTCTTTTTTATCACATTTATCATCTTTATCTTTATCCTTATCCTTACTCGAGCTTTTATATGAAAAACATTTTCTTTTTTGAGGACACGCCGCTTCTACTTGAATTTTATTAAAACTCGTCACAATATCAAGGGTTAAAAACAAAAGTAAAAGAAATTTGATTTGTTTAAACATTTTTTACTGGAAAATTTTGAAAATTTTTTGTTTTTTTCTATTTTGAATTTTACTTTTTTTTTTTTTTGTCGGATAAAATTTAATATTTTTAATGATTTCAAAAATGAATTTTTTTTTTTTTTTTTTTGTTTTTCAACAAGCACTTGCTAACCTGAGAAAAAGAATTTTAGAATATTTTAATCAAATGAAATTTTTTTTTTTTTTTACTGTAATTATAATTAATAAGAGGTAAATTTATTATAAATTTTTGATTTTAGGGTTGGGGCATAAGAACCAAGCAACCAATCAAGGCGGGTGATTTTATTCTTGAATATGTGGGTGAAGTAGTTTCAGATAAGGAATTTAAAGACCGTATGGCAAGCATTTATGTAAATGACAAACATCACTATTGTTTACATTTGGATGGAGGATTGGTGATTGATGGACATCGAATGGGAGGCGATGGTAAATAATACTTGATTTATAATTTTAAATTACTCGTGAGTGCAAAAAAAAAAATTATTTTTTTTAAATTATTTAAAGGTCGATTCGTCAATCATTCTTGCAATCCTAATTGTGAAATGCAAAAGTGGTCCGTAAACGGTTTATTCAGAATGGCTCTTTTTGCTCTTCGAAATATTCCAGCCCATCAAGAGCTTACTTATGATTATAATTTTTCTTTGTTCAATCCTGCCGAGGGTCAACCTTGTTATTGTGGGACCAACGAGTGCAGAGGAGTTATAGGGGGGAAATCTCAAAGGATTCCATTAGGAAATGGACAAAATGTCGTCACGTCTGAAAAAAAAGAGAAAAAAATGGTAAGATTTTATAATAATAAAGCATTTATATGTGTTTTTTATTTAAATGTATTTTTTTAATGTTTAAATGTTATTCTTTTACAGGTTGGCAGACCAAGGAAAACAGGCAAAGCAAAGAAACACAACGTTCGAGACAAGAATAAAATAGAAACTGTTACAGTTAAGCCATCAACTAAACCAATGTCTCATCAACAAAGATGTTTTGTACAAATGCATCATTGTTTTTTGCTTAGGAATGTTGATAAGGTATTTTTACCTCATGTGTTTACATAATTTTTTAATTTTTAAATTAACAAAGAAAATGATTTTAATAAAAATATTTTTCAGGTAAAAAGAAATAAAAATAATTCCAAGTGGAATTGGAAGCAGTCAAATAACGAAGTTCAAAGTTTTTCGCGTCAATTACCCGAAATAAAGCAATCCGATGTGTTTTATACTCAGTTAAACGCATTATCCACATTACGTTCAATTAAAACACGTAGATTAGCTCAAGCAGAAGATAATCCAGAGTTGACAAAAGTGGCAAAGTTAGCCTACATCTTCAAAGACTTGTACAGTGCTGTTATTTCGGCAAAAGGTGAATTTAATTTTATTAAGCAAATCAATGTGACAAAATTTTTTAATTTAAAACAGTTTTTTTTTTTTGTATTTTCTAAATTCCATAAAAATTATTTTATGTTTGAACATTTTATAATTTTTGTTGCAGATGAAAAAGGAGAATTGTTATCGGCCCCCTTTACTAATCTCCCTCCCAAAAGAAAACTTCCTGCTTACTACCAAAGGGTATCCGATCCTATAGATTTAATTACGATTGAACAAAATATAAATACAGGAAACTACAAAACAATCGAAGCATTTGATCAAGATATGACAAAACTCTTCAATAATAATGTTAAATTTTACGGCAGGACTTCAGAATTAGGTATTGCCAGCACCAGGTTACGAAGAGTGTATTGTTTGGCGAAATATGATTCCGCAAGTGAATTAGAAAAAGTTTTGGGTGATGCCATTCCGTCATCTTTCATTCCAGAAAACGCTAACCCTGGTTTGTAATTTTTTTTTAATTTCAAATCTGTTTGTTACACTTTTTTTTTATTTTTAATGATAATATTTTACCGTTTTAAAATATTTGTTTTAGGTGACGAAGAAGAAGACGTCATACGATGTATTTGTGGACTGTACAAAGATGAAGGAGTAATGATTCAATGTGAAAGATGTTTAGTGTGGCAACATTGTGATTGTGTAAAAGCCGATGACTCTGTTGAACATTATCTGTGTGAAAGATGTGATCCTAGGGAAGTTAATTTGGAAATTTTGATCGATCCTCAGCCCGAATATGCCACAGGTAAACTTTTTTTTTTTTTTTTTATAAAAACATTAAAAAATTTAACTTTATTTTCATCTTTATTTTTTTTTCTTTTTTTTTAGAAGATACAACTCATTACATAAGTCTTTTAAGAGGTGATCTTCAACTAAGAATCGGCGATGCCGTTTACGTTTTAAGAGACATGATCGAGGAAAATACACCGAAAACTTCTCCGCCTACAAAAGTGACGTATAAAACGATACAAAATGTAAATTATGCGGATTTAGATATTTTCAGAATAGAAAGGCTTTGGATAGATAAAAAGTTAGTAAAAACTTTTTAAAAATTTACATGTTCACAAAATTACAAAAGCAGTGAAATTAATATTTCCTTAGTTTTCATTTAAAAATAAATTGTTTTAAATTTTCAGGGGTGACAAATTTGCATTTGGACATCATTATTTGAGACCTCACGAAACATATCATGAACCTACAAGAAAATTTTTTCACAATGAAGTAATGCGGGTGCCTTTATACGAAGTGGTACCTTTAGACCTTATCATGAATCATTGCTGGGTATTGGATTTAAATACCTATTGTAAAGGTAAACTCTATTTAAATATTTACATTAATTATTATTCTTAATTTTATTTTTAATTTATATTATTTCTAAAGTAAATTAATTTTTTTTTTTTTTTTTAGGTCGGCCCATAGGAGCTCCGGAGGAACATATTTATATTTGTGAATACAGAGTGGACAAAAGCGCTCATTTATTTGCCAAAATAGCCAAACCTTATCTTATTTGTACTAAGACTTATGCATTTGAAAAATTTGATGTCAGATTAAAACCTACTAGAACTTATACCGTACGTATAAACCTCTTTATCTTTTCCTAAAAATTTGAATATGAAAAAAAATTTTTTCTTAATTATTATTTATTTATTTATTTTTAGCCTCACGGTGATGTACCTGTAAGATCCAGGGCTCGCAATAACCTTCGTACCATTCACGAAGATGAGGCCAAAAGCGAGTCGCTAAAACAGAGTGAATCAGATGAAGAATTGCCACTTGCTAAAATCAAAGAAAACGTACACGCTGCAAAGGTAAGTATTTAAAAAATTAATCATTTAAAAATAAATTATGAATCCAAAAAAAAAAAAAAAAAAAATAGTTGTTATTATTATAGTTATTAGGCAATTTTTTCTTTTTCTCGTTTTCAGAGAGATGAACAGAAAAAAAGATTAAATTCGATTCTTTTAAAATTGTTAAGTCGATTGCCTAATAAACAGCCTTTGGATTTATCTTATTTATTGGAACCGGTAAAAAGATTTCGGGGAAAGGCTCAACAACAAGGAAAACGAACATAATTAACAGTAACCTTTTTTTTTTTTTTTCCCTATTTATTTAAGTTTAATTTGAGTAGCTTTACCTTTGTTGTTTAAGTTTTAAAAAAATTGTTTTCAATCAACGGAATCTTGAAAAAAAAAAAAAAAAAAGATTTCTTTAAAATAATTTTTATTAAATTCTAAAAAAAATATTTATATGAGAATTAATGGTGTATGTAATTTGACATTTAAACAAAAATGCCCAGTGTGTATGAATGAGAGTATCCGAGTGCGTGTGAATTGTAAAAGTAAGCAATCAATATTTTCGATTTTATTATTATTATTATTATTATTATTTGTAAATAAAATCCAATCGCAAAGCACACAGACACAAACAAATTATCAACGAATTTTTTTTTTTTTTTTTTTAAAAGGAAATCAAAAGAATTAAAAAATTAATATTAAATTAGAGACGAAAGGATAATTTTTTATTTATTTATTTATTTATTTTTTTTTCGAATCTGTCTAATTATTGTTTGGTTTTAATAATAATAGAAATGATTGATTAACTTATTGATTGAAATAACGTGCAAAATCAGTGGTATCAGCCTGTGATAGATAAAATTCGTAAAACAAAAAAAAAAAAAAAAGGGAAAAAAAAACTGTCGCTTTAAAATAGCCCAGTCATATATTTTTTTTAGTATTTATTATTATTATTATTAGTTTTTAAATTAAGCCATTAATTTTTTTAAACAATTATTTACGTATTAAGCGAGCGATTAATTTACAACAAAACCTTCCTATTAATATTCTTTACAATTTTGTTTTACATTTTTTTTTTTTTTTAAACAATATAAATAATAAATTTTAATTTCAACAGATGCATGTGTACATATAATTACCGTAATAAGCGTAAAAAATAATAAAATTATTTATAAAAATTATGTAAATATTAATTTAATAAATATGTTTAAAAAAAAAAAAAAAAAAATTGTCAGTGTTAATAAAAAAACACAAAATGAATTTTTAATTGTAATTATATTGATCACATCATTTTTATTTTTCGTGTGTTTTGATTTTATTTATTTTTATTTATTTATTTATTTATACATACACGAATTAATTGATTTTTTTAAAAAATATTCCACATGAAAATTTTAATTAAAAATCAAACTCAATGTGTTTTGCACAAATTTCAAAATAAATTTTTTAATATATAATTTAATATTTTTTTTTTGTATTTTTTTTTGTATGGGGGGAGGTAGGGGAAGGGGAAGGAATGAACGGCCTAAAGAATTGAAATTATTTAATTATTTTATATGTAATCATTTTTTTTTTTTTTATTGTTATTATAATTTTGAATCAGAATAATAATAATGAAAATTATGTATTTATTTTTTAATGAAATTTTTAATTAATCATTTTATTTATAATGAAATTATTAATGGAAAAAAAAAACGACAACAAATTTTTTTTATTAATTCACAAATTATTATTTTTTTATTAATCGTTTATTTAATTTTTATTTTTTTATTAACTTTAATCGCACTATTATTATTATTTTATTAATCATTATAATTAATTTTTTTTTTGTTTATTGTATGAAATTAAATATTTGCGATTTGTGTGCTTGTACCACGATAATAACAAATTATTTAAATCTATTATTATTATTATTTATTAGATTTGACCAAATCTTAAAAATATGACAATATTGCCTTTAAATATATAAAATAATGTTAAACATTTTTTTTGTTTTTTTATTGTGTGTAATTAATTAATTTTAATGTTTATTTTAACCTATTTGAAAGGTGTAAATAAATATTATTATTAAACAAATGTCAAAGGTTATTATCATTATGGTTTTTTTTTTTTTATTATTTTAATTCTCATAAACATATTTTTTCTTTCTTTCTTTCTTTTCTATTAGGAAAGAATAAAAAATATATATAAATAAATAAATATATATAAATATTTTTTTGATAAGTATATATAAATTGTAAAATAAAAATATTGAAACATGTACTGAAAGGTTTGAACGCTTTAATCACAACAATTATTATTATTATTTTCACATTTGAATGATTCATAATAAAATTTGTAATTAATTATAAATATTTAATTTATTTAATTGTAAAATTTATGTATTTTAGTGTGCTTTGTTATTATAAATTTCTTTTTTCTTTTTTTTTTTTTAATTAAATTGAATTAATTACTTCTTTTTTCTAATACTTGATGTTACGTTTCCTGTCGCGAAAATAAAAATAATTTATGATTACCTGATAAAATTTAACGTTTTTTTGTGATTAATTTTAATTTTTTTTTTTTACAGTATCTATTACAATATTGCAAACTTAATATATATTTTAATGTTTGTTTTTTTATCTCGTTTAAACAGTGTTGAAATTTAACTGATAAGTTTTTCATAACTGATTAAAAATAAGTAAGTAAACATAAATTTTTAATTGAGTATTAACATTTTAGTTATTTAATTATTTTATAATAAGTGACTGACTTTGTTTATTTTATTTTAAATTATTTTAAATGATATTTAATGTTTAATAAGTTGATGAATTGTTACGGTGTTTTAAACATTACTTAATAATTTTTTTATATCACTATATTTTTTTGAATAATTTTTATTTCGAAAAAAAAAAACAAAAAATTTTAACAAAGATATTAATAAATTAAAACTGCCGAAATTTATTTTAAAAAAATATATATTTTTATACATAAAAATAAAATAGGCAGTAAATGTTGTAAAAATATTTCTAAATTGTGCTTTGCAACAAACTTTTAGCATTAATAATACTTGATCCGCTACAAATAATTCTAGTTCCGGTTTTACTTTCAAGAAATTGTAATGCGGCAATTTCGGCATAAGTTATACCTCCTACAATATATATAAAAATACTGTTGGGTTTAATATCGATAAAATTATCAACCTGATTTCCAATTAATTTCGTTTCAGATTTTTCATTTATCCCGCACGGTAAACCTTTAACTAAATCATTTAAACTCATTTCTTTTCGAATTAAATAAGTGACTATTTGAGCCACCAAAGGAATGTATGCTCCCCCAAATATGTAACTCGCATCTTGAGGATTCTTTAAGCATGTGCTTTTTGATAAATTAGGGAATAGTTTAAATTTTTGGACGGTGGTTTGAAAAGAATTTTTTTTCGGAAAAGGTACAACTTGAGCTACTTTGTTGGCAATTTTTGCTGAAATTTCACCCGGAGACGGTGAAGATGAAAACAAACCGTGCTTTTCTAAATTGTAAAATGTAGATAAATGCTCAAAGCCATATGAATGAAGGAATTGCTTTTTTAAATTCATACTTTCTTCAACTGAAAAATCATTTTGAGCTAGGGAAAGTAAACAAATTAATCTTAATGGCAGAAACACATCTTCTGATGTACTTATCATATCTTCAATTTCAGTTAAAACTTCTTTTCTTGAATTTCCATACAGGATATTTGTCTGACAATTATTTATGGATTCAAATTTTTTACCCATTTCATTGCAAATTTTTTCACATATGTTGAAATGATTTGACAAAGCTAAACTTTCCTGTTTGAGATTTTTCAGTCGATTGCTAACAAAATTTTTCATTTCTTGAATTCCCATATTTGTTCCCTTATTCTTTTCATTTATTAATTCCTGAGCTTTTTGCTTTAAATAAACATTAACATCAGAAAAGTGTCTATTTTTGATTTGATTGTAAATTTCATCATTGCTAGTTAACTGCATAGATATAGCCAATTCTTTTTTCTCTTTATTTTGCTGTTTCAATTCTACTGTGCCTGATGAAATATTCATTACTTCTGATATCAGGCTAGTATATGTTCCAGGCATTAATAGTACAGATGCATAATCAATGTCTCTATCAAAGACGAGAATGCACCCCAAGTCTGAATCAGGTCTTTCTGGTTCACCATATTCTTCTAACCAATTGTCTAATAAATTTGCAATGAACTTGGAATATTTTCCATGAAATAAACCTAAGGATGGTTTTCCAAAAATATGATATACAG